GGTGATGAGTGAATGCAATAAGATCCACCTTAAGAAAGTTACATTCTGGGTCTATCCCAGCTGTGAAGCTAATGAGATAATCTCCATAGAGACAAAATCAAATAGGGAGTCAGAAAAAAAGTGGGAGGGCTGGTTAGGAGTGGGGGGAATGGAGAATGCTTGAATGCACTTTTGGGGACCTGAACATATGGGGAGAAGAATTACTTGACTTGAAACAGAGGGTTATTGAGTATTTTGTGTGTGGTACCTATTTATTTTGCTCTATATAACAAATCTTTACTGTTTTGTTTTCTATATCTCTTGATGGATGTTTATAAGAAGTAACATTTATTACCCTTTGCCACACTGAGCTCATTTATCAACATAGCCACTAGTCAAGGTCACTCCAAGGACTGGGTACTAGGTCCAGGGAAGGAACTTGAGTCAGTCTAGGTGAGTGATAGGAGCCCAAGAGCTGGAAATGTGGGGCTAACCTAAATAGTGGGACTGTCATAGTGACCTTCATTTCATTTTTTTTATTGGCCTTCTGAACAGAAATGTTGGTAGCTGATGGCAACTGGATTTTAGCAGTGGCTCAAGTGGTTAAGATACTGACTCTGTGACTGCAAGATCAGCATGTTGGCAATTCAAGGCCCGGATGCTGCATGATGGAGTGAGTTCCTGTCACTAGTCCCAGCTTCTGCCAACCTAGCAATTCAAAAGCATGCAAATGCAAGTAGATAAATAGGTACCACTTCAGTGGGAAGGTAAACAGCATTCTGTGCAATCATGCTGGCCACATGATCACAGAGTAGTCTCTGATAACGCTGCTTCTTTGGCCTAGTAAGAGATGAGCACTGTCCCCTATGGTCAGACATGACTTGATAACCTTGTCAATGGGGAATACCTTTACCTGGTTCTTCTTAATAGTTTTGTTCTGAAATATTGTGTTGTTAATTATTAGAAACTACTTTGAGATGACTTTAAATATATTTAAAAAAGCTGGTTTAAAATATTTCAATAAACAACCTCAGTATACATGTCTTGTACTACATGCATTAAGAAGAATCATACACTTTTTAAAGCCTTGAATCCCTTCAGTTCCCCATTCATAGGTCAATTGTGACTATTTTGTTTAGCAATCACATCACCCACACATGCTCCTTTCAGCTAGAGTGCTAGTTAATGAAAGTGAGAACTTTTGCATTCATGCACATAACTTTACCACTGTGATATGGGCTATACCCTAAGCAGAGATGGTAGTTTGTCACCCACAGTCCACATGTGTCCTATCAAGCCACTACAGTGTGTTCCTCCTGGAATCTCTCCAAATTCTTCAAAACCAAAAGAAAAATTAGCTCCAAATTGCTGCTATAATACTTCCACTTAGGCTGCATCCACACTGCAGAAATAATCCAGTTTGACACCATTTTAACTATCATAACTCAATGCTATGGATTCTGGGAGCTGTAATTTTGTGAATCATTTAGCCTTCTCTGTCAGACAGCTCTGGTGCCACAGCAAACCACAGATTGCAGGATCCCATAACATTGAGCCATGACAATTAAAGTGGTGTAAAACTGGATGATTTCTTCAGTGAGGTTGCAATCTAAGTTTCAAAGCAGTGACTACTATAAAAGAAAGCAAGAGGGACCTTTATGGTGCCCAGTATGTTGCTTACTTGAGTTAGGTTCACCAAGTTCTATGAAATAAGCAAGTTTTATATAATAAATATATGACTGACTGATTGATTGACTTAAGCTGAAATTTATTAAATTGATTTCTTGGCCACTTTTCAATTCCAGTAGTCTTCCTAATATATCTTGACACATTAAACATTAGATATTTAAATGACAACAACAAAAACAATAACTCACAAGCAAATATAAACCATTTTAACAAACTATTTCCAGTAGCACACAGTTTCAAAAAAGGAATGAATGTCATTCATACATTCAATTTGTTTTTTAAATTTTCTTTGACAAGAGATTACCTTCCTCTGGAGTAAATGTCTTATCCTGATCAGAAAGGTCTTTTCTGGATACCAGCTCACTCCATGCATCTGAGGAAGCAGACCACGTCTAAGAAAGCTTATGCTACAACTTCTTTTGCTCATTTAGTCTCAAAGGTGTTACAAGATCCCTTTGCCTTATCCATAGTCTGTCTTGTCCAGAGAGAAGGATTAGCCTTCTTCCTCTACTTTATTCTATTTACTCCCTGTGTGTTGCCAAGCAGGATGTGTCCAAATCCTCTGTTCTTGCACAAGAGAAGTTAACTGTTTCAGTTGGCAAAAAGTTCTCAGCTTTCCGGGAGGTAAAAACACCATGCCCTACTGCACACTGTTTATACTTGGAATCCCTTTTTATTTGTCTGAATTTGGTTAACTATTGCCCAGTTAACTATAAAAATGTTGGCAGACAGTCTGTTCTAGGACCCTTGCCATTGCTAGAACTCCTGGAAATGCAGTATGTTAATGCAAAGGAAAAAGACTTTCACATGCCTGTGAAAGGGAATAAGGAATTAATGAATAATCAGTGCTAGCAACCATGTCTGGTATGGCTAAGGAATCACAATTGCAGACTGACTTTGAACTCTGTTTTTATTTCTCAACAGTATACAGTTTTCAGAAATACAGGATAGCCAGACAATCTCAGCAACATTAAAAGATTCCAAAACCCAGTGTTTTATTAATGCTATATAATGTATGTGGAATTTATTTAGAATCCTACAACAGGCCAGGCCATGGCATCCACATGTTTTTGACTCTGTACTGTGGTGCAGATCATAAAATGGAGTATATGTGGTGGACAGGAGAAGAATATACTATACTTCCCTGTTTTTATAAACTAAATGGGCTACTTGATGCTCTGACTGGAATGTACTGATAGATGTCATGTTTATCGCTATTTTCTATGATATATTGCAGTCTAAGAGGACTACACTTTGCTGAGGAGGGAGTGAATGGTTTCAGGACTGCTGTATAGCCTCCTGCTTAATGAGGAAATACCACCCAAATTTCTTTCTTAGTGCTGGCATGTTTCATAATGACAAATCACTAAATCACTTCACTGTGTTAATTTAGAGGAGCATTCATTTCTATATCATGTAATATTGCTCAGAAAGTATAACATAAAATCTGTTCTGTGCCTATGATTTTCAGTTTCTGTGCCTAATTTACAGGGGCCTGATTTTGCATTTCTGTCTTCAGTGATCAAAATATTAAATAGCATGGGTTGCTGTAAAAAGTAGTTGAAAAATTAAATATATTTTTAATCCTGCAGAGCATATAGCCACAATTTCCAGTAGGCAAAAATATACAAGCATCTGTTAATTCCCTCATGACACATTTTGATGAATCTTGTTTCATTAGATGTCTCCCCAGGATAAATTGATAAGTGAAATGATAAATTGATTGATAATTTCTCTTGGAGGATGCTGGGATTTGTAGTACATTGCAGTAAAGGATTCCCCACTCCCCATACCAGGTATTTGATCACTCAAAGCCATGGCTGTTGGGTCATTATCCACCTTCTCCTAACCAAGATAAACTCTGTGGCTCTTGGGGGAGCAAAGGAAAACAGGCAGAAGTCAGGGATGTAATGGTTAAAGTACTTATGAGCATTTGTAATTACTTGCATGGAGTGTCCATGAAATAGTCACCCTTTGTGCTTATACAAAGTGCTTACAAAAATGAATACTAAAAGTACATGGCTGATCTTGCATTTCCACTCTGCACTGCTCTCTCTGTTTCTATTTCTGTCTCTCTCTGTAATGTATATATATGGAGCAATTCATCTGCTCTTTATTAGTTGATGAGACTTTGTAATGGGGAATGAAGCAAGTAGGTTCTTAATTAATATGAAATGATAGGATGTGATCTTTGCTCTGCATAGGCTGATAAAGTTCCCAGAACTCTCACCAAAATGCTCCTCAAAATCCCATTACTAGTTAGGCACCAATACACTAATCCACTTAAAACCAGTTTGGATTTCTAGCATAATTATGGTCAAAGTTCTGGTATCAATTTTAATTGTATTCAGTACATAGTCCTCCCACTCTCTGCTCACATATCCTTTTGTTATATCTTCTGGCACCAAATATGTGGAGAAACAGCTGGCTTTGCAAGGCTCCTGTTTGCTACAATGAGGGAAGGTTTCAAGATTTGTGGCATGATAGATAACAATATTTTTCATTCCCTTTATATGGGTGGAAAGAGAAAAAATAAATCTGAAATTCCTGTCAATGAAGGAGCATAGAAAATGAAATTATTCAGGCTGCTCTAGGAAATGCATGGAGACCTGGAGCCCTGCCACCTTTTTGTTTATGCATGCAGATTAGGAATTATGCAAATTAGTTATTTGATTCTTGTTTTATTTTTGCTTAATCAGTTGTCTGCATGTTTGTACAGTTCAGTCACTGTCACTTGTGATTGTTTTTGCCATGACATGGCAGAGTTTATCAAGAGGCAGAGTTGTAAAGGAAATGAGAAGCAATGGGGTGAGACATATAGCTATGCCCTGTGGGGTAGGTGGGGTAAAGAATTCCTTTGCCAAGGGTTCCCTAGAGTTATGTGGGAAATGCCCTTTTGAAAAGCCTTTTAAATATAATTACAGCAAGTTCATTCACACTTTTTAATACCTCCACATTGTCAGGATTCAAATATAATTCAGTGTCCATAAACTTCCCTGTTGAAAAGCAAATATACTGTAAGGTTATCTCATACTGGTTAAAGCTAACAGGCACACCCCATGATACATAATGGTGTTGTCTAATTTATGTGTGATTGTTTAAAGTTTACTTTCTGCACACCCACACTTTTCCTTGGTATTTCAGATCTAAATCCAGATGCAAGGGGATGAAGGACCAAGAAAAAAAATGTCCTGGTTCTGCATCATCTTATCTATACAATTTGAGCTTTACTATTATTGTTGTAGTATACCTTCAAGTTGTTTCTGGATGTTTGCCTGAGGCTGAGAGCATGTGACTTACCAAGATCATTCAGTGGGTTTCATGACAAGGGTTTTAAGCAGGGAATTGAACCTTGTCTCTGGAGTCATAGTCCAACATTCAAACCACTATGCCATGTTTGCTGTCAAAACTTTACTATAGACTAGAAGAATCCTGATATGAGTTTGTCCATGCCTGTTTGCTGCTTATATCAGGAATTGGCAGAATTGGCAGAATGAGTCAAGCACTGGATCATGTTTCTCTGACTAAGAAGGGTGAAAAGAATACCAATGCTAATGACCTGGGGTGTGATCATAGAATCATAGAGTTGGAAGAGACCACAAGGACCATCCAGTCCAACCCCCTGCCATGCAGGAACTCCCAATCAAAGCATCCCTGACAGATGGCCATCCAGCCTCTGCTTAAAGACCTCCAAGGAAGGAGACTCCACCACTCTCTGAGGGAGTGTGTTCCACTCTAGAACCGCCCTTACTGTCAGGAAGTTCCTCCTAATGTTGAGGTGGAATCTCTTTTCTTGCAGCTTGCATCCATTGTTTCGGGTCCTAGTCTCTGGAGCAGCAGAAAACAAGCTTGTGGTGCCAGTAGCTATATTTCTTAACATTATTTCAGTGTTTATTTACTCATTTACCCTGTGGTGTTTGGAACAGTTTGGTTCCCACTCTTCCTCAGAATTGTTTCACAGATACCCCCTCTTCAGAAACTCATGGCAATTCCTCAGGACCAAGAAGAATTGTACTCTGAATATTCTGCATGGAGTTTAAAGTCTCAAATGCCCCACACTCCCTATCCAGTCAATAATATATAGTTTGGGTTGTGAGGTCACATTCCATAACTGAATGAGTAAACATTACATTTGTATTTCAACAAATTCCCTTTCCAACATAGAACCCCCCCCCCAAAAAAAAAGTACTGGAATACTAGCTGCATTCAAACTTTATAATGAAATATAAAAAGTCTCAGCAGGCCTTTACCAGGCAGGAAAACCTAACATCCTTTGAACAGTTGCTTCACCAAGCCAATTATTTTGGTGTGCTGAGAAAACCTGAGTAAAGTATACATGTAATTTTTACCTACAGTTGACTAAAAGCTATGGTATGGCTGTTGAAAATTGAAGCAAAAATTATAAATGTGTCAGTTAACTGAACTATCAGTCTTGCTGCATCTGGGACAATTTTTATTGTAATTTTAATTTTTTGCCTTTGTAGACCTCATCAGGTTGAATATAGGTTCCAGTTTTCAAGTTCTTAATCTCAACAGATGGTATTGTAAAGTGTTATGGGGGGCAATCTAACTACCTAACTCCCCCCCTCCTCCTCCTCCTCCTTTGGAGACTCACCTTTAGGGTTCATGTTTGGGGTGTCTTTTGTTATGAGGATTCTTATAGATTTTTATTCATGTGCTGAGTGTATAGAGGCACTTTGTAGTGGGTCTTCAGGATCCCTGTTGGGAAAAGCTGGACTAAACAGAATCAAAGTGGGGCTGAAGATTGCTCTTGGTGCACCAATGAACCCACATGTAGCCCTTTACTGTCTCCCCAAAATGTATTAATGACACATAGTAAAGGGTAGTCCTTTGGAACAGAACTAGCTGTACATCAAGTCTTTCCCCTACATCTGTTCTCCCTAGTCATGTGTAATCTATGCCCATCTCAGCACAGCTTTGGTCTTTTTCTTTTGAAACCCTATCCTAGGGCTGGGTTTTCAGCCGCACTGTATTACAGTTGTTGGATGACCACCCATCATTGAGAGGTAATTGCTGGCTAATTGTTGGTTTTATATCTTAAATGGGAGTTAATGACTGAAACTCTTCCTTTGCTCCCTTTGGAACATGACACTCTTCAACGAATGGGAGTTGGCAGATGAATAGTGCTGTTGAAATTTTTCATTTTGAAGAGACCACATCAGGCAAATAACTGGAGCCTTTAGCTAGATGGAAAGCAGTAGGAGAGGAAGTTTGAGAACCTAATGTGGGATCAACAGTTTTGCTGCCTTCTACAAGAGACAGACAGCCTATTTCACTTCTAAATCAAAGAACTACTACAAGGCAGATCCTGGTGGAGTTATTTGGAGACTGTACTTTCCCCTAGCTAGTATGGCCATTGGCTGCTGGATTCTGGCGCTGGCATCTCTAGGGTTGGTGTCACCCAGTGTGTTGACTCATGGTATCATCACTCCATTGACCTACTCCCATACCACACCATACAGAATCCTTAGTAATGTTTTTTGTACTAATGTTAGTCATAAATCATAATTCCCATATATCACTGAATGTAATAGTAATAGTTGTGACATAAACAAGTAGCAAAATTAGAATTATACATTTAAGTGACAATTTAAGTGAGAGCTTTTTGACTGAAGAGTGAGGTATAAATATCATATGCACAGCCTAAATATATTCGCATGTACATAGTTTCATGTGGCTAAAGTTAAAATTTAACAATATGTGATGTTTGTAAATAAAATGTAAAAGAATTAAAAAACCATTTTAATTAAAAATATGAAAAAAAATTAAATTAAATTTGTAATTTTAAAAAAAACAAAAAAACCCTGAGGTCTCTCTTTTCTCCTTCCACTGAGCATTGCCCTCACAACATCTCTTCAGCATTTTGAAGGGATGCAGTTGAACACCAAAAAATAGATGTTTGGGGAGCAATGATGTCACCTCCCCTTAGGGTGTCACCTGGTGTGATTCACACACCCCACACATACCCTACTGATGCTCCTGCTTTTGAGATTTGTATTTTAAAAAAGCACCATCCCCAAGTTATTTTAAATGGTAAATTTCCAGACCTCTTTTACCCAAAGCAAACTAATCTCTCTAGAGTGTGTGTGTGTGTGTGTGTGTGTGTGTTTGCCTTCAAGTCACCTGTTGACTTCTAGGATTCATAGAGTTTTCTTAGTCTCAGAGGGAGAGAAGAAGAAGCAGGCATAGCTCCATTGTGCCTCGGCCCAAAATCTGATGAAAGGCTCTCCCTCCATACCAACTGCCACTGTTTTGATCTTGGAAGGAGAGAAGAAGAGGCAGGCAAAGCTCTATCATGGCTTGGCCTCATAGCTGAGGAAAGGCCTTCCCTTAATCTCAATTGTCACTGCTATGGCCTTGGATGGAGTGAACAGCATCCAGCGTTGGCAGGATTTAATCTCCTCCCCCACTGCCATTCCTTTTCCTTTTGTGTTGATTATAATCCTGAGCACAGAGAACTGTCAAATTAACAATTTTTAAGATGCTCTGGAAGCCTTTTTGGCTGAAGAATGGGGCATAAATACTCTAAAATAAATAAAGAGAAAGAAAGAAAGAAAGAAAACCTTCTTGAATCTCTTTACTTCTTTGATCTACTTAAAATTCTCTGACTCCTCCTTTTCTTTTTTATTCACTTTTCAGTTCTATTTATATCCCACACTTTTCCTATACCATGACTCAAGGTAGTTTTCTTCCTTCCTTCCCAACAATGAAGAAGTAAGACTGGTTTAGTATGAACTTGTTTCAGTTGGTTGGAAAAAGTCAGGAAAGGGGGAGAGAGAGCAATCATTTGCTTTGTGTTGCCAAAGAAAGGCTTTTCAAATCTCTACTGCTAGGTTGTTTCACTAAAAAGTGACATCTAGAAAAATTCTCCAGCCATTGAAATGAATGTAAGACAAAAACATGTGCAGACTATTTTGATGTTTTATCAGATGATAATGTCTGACCTGAAGGATAGATGCTTTCTTAAATCACACATCATATGTAACAGATACAGAAAGAGAGATCACACAGAAACATACTCTAAGTGACTTCCCAGTTACAGTATTTCTTTCCATCAAAGTATGAACCTGATCATCATTCAAGAGCACTATACTATTACTGTGGTGGTCTTCAAGTTGTTCCCAAATTATGATAGCCCTCAGGCAACCATATCATGGCTCAGTGGTCAAACTACTACACAGTGCTGGCTTCTTAAGGGAAATGTAAAGAGTTAAACAGGGTTAGAGTTAAACTAACAGAAGCTACTGATGACATTTTAAACTGATTAAATCATATTCTGTTGTAATGAGATTTTCATAGTTTGGCAAAGATACATCTATAAATAAATTTTATTAATTGTAAAGTCTATGAACTACATATTGAAATTTTCAGGAAAAACTAAAATGTTCATTACAATCCATTTCCTAATTAAAACGTTGTTGTGGTTAGTTGTTTACAGGGGATTGCAATCAAACCTGACACTTTGTCAGTTCCTGAGCTAAATATTTTAACTGTTAACTTGTAGTGTTCAGTACCAAACCATACTGTTTAGGTACATAAACCATGTTGCGTTAAACTCTGCCCATCATCTAAATAGCTTCCAACTAGATGACTACGTTTCTACCTACAAACTACATATAATGCCATTATCATTTTACACATGGCTGTTGATTTGCTGAATTTCTCTCCCTGGTACTGGTAGAGGGATCCTTATACAGATTCTTCATGATGATTTGCATTTTGCAATATGACTACCATTTGAATTAAATAGTGAATTATAATTTCTATCTGTATTCTATCTGTATTTGGCATTAAAGTATTACTTCTGTTATTCTAAATATTACTTGCTATTCTGAGCTTTATGCTTAATATATTTACAAAGGAGATGATGATAGAGATGACAGACAGATAGATAGACAGATAGGTAGACAGACAGATAGACAGACAATCATCCAGTGTATGCAGGAAAGCCATACTATCATTCTCTCCTTTCTTATTCTTGTTGCTACTGTCCAGTGAGCCATTTACTGCATTGTAATATCTCCAAGGCAACACAAGGACAGCCCAGAATAGAAGATTATATAGTTGAACTGATTCCTACACAAATGGTATCTCTTTTTAGAAGATACCAGACATACTGCAGCAATTGAGGCTTCCATGAATATACAAACAAAAATCCACCAAACAGTGATACCTTTATTGGCCAACCAAAATGCAAAATATACTTGTTGCAAGCTTTCGAAACTCTACTGGCTTCTTCATCAGGCAAGATGTTACAAACCAAACAGGAGAAAAAATGTAGATGTTAGTCAGATGCCTGCATTTTGATGTTTCTAGTCTTAGTTAAGATGGTAAGTGGAGGGTATCTTTTGCAGGCTGGCCTCTCCTTCTCCTGGCCATG